TTTGCAAATTTAGATAGACCTTATAAACGCCAAGCTCCTGAGTGAATAAATAATGTTTCAGAGCAATAATTTGGAATAAATCAAACTAGGAATGGTGAGAAGGCCAGGAGTATCATCCCTTTGGGGATTCCTACCACTTCTAATTAATATGTGGTACTTAAAGCATCACAACCCATGGTTAAACCAAAGTCAGAAGAAATAAAGGATTATTAAGTCCTTCCAGAGATTTGTGTCCCTCTCCATCCACAGTGCTTCTTAGTGCCCCTGCCAAATAGACTGACTCTCTGACCTCAGTTAGGAATGTATGATTTTTTTGGGAGGGACAGCCCAGGGGACCCAGCAGCCAGGCTGCCCTCGTAGCTTGCAGCTGCCCCAGGGCTCACATTGTCCCTTGTTATCCCACTCCATTCCCATTCCCATCCAGCCACCCTCTCCAGCACCTTCCCAGGCTCTCCTGGCCCTCTGGTGAGCCAGTTCAGCCTCCCAAAAACTGTGCTTTGGTTTTGGCTGGCTGAGGGATCCCAGTTGAGAGCCAACAAACACCAAAGCTGGTGTAACAAAAGCAGAAGAACATAGCGGGGGGTGAGATATGGAGAGCAAGGAGCAGTTGCAGTCCTGGCATGTCTAAACACTCTTAAATTATTCTATCTTAATGACTTAGTGAGGCAGCTGCAGAAGGAGGCTTCAGATAACCACATCTTAACCATGGCATCAGTGAGCACAGACAAGCTGTTGTCCCTTTTGCCCGACAAATATAGAAGATTTGAAGGGCAAAAAAGGACAACAGCTTGTCTGTGCTTCTTGGTCTTCTATCACTGGGGCCATCTAGCTATTGATGAGCAGTTCTTAAGATTATTATGTTGAATTCCAGAGCTGCTGTTGTGATGATGGGGAAAGAACAAATTCAGCTGCGAAAAACAGTCCTTGCAAATCAGATTTAAGGAGGCTGCATTCAGCCTGGAGAAGGCTCAAGGGGAGACCTTATAATTGCTTCTAGTGCCTAAAGGGGACCTAGAAGTAACCTGGAGAGGAACTTTTTACACAGGCATCTAGTGATAGGACAAGGAGGGAAGGCTTTAAACTAAAAGAGGGGAGATTTAGCTTAGATATTGTGAAAAAAATCTTTACTATGAGGGTGGTGAGGCCCTGGCACAGGTTGCCCAGAGAAGCTGTGGCTGCCCCATCCCTGTCAGTGTTCAAGGCCAGGTTAGGTGGAGCTTTGAGCAACCTGGTCTAGTGGAAGGTGTCCCTGCACATGGCAAGGGGGGTGGCACTGAATGAGCTTTAAGGTCCTTTCCAACCCAAACCATTCTGTGATTCTATGATCTGGCAAAGTTTACTGATCCAGGAAATAAGAGCTTCAGGAATAAAACCTAAGAGGAAAAATCACTTCGACTAGGACATCTTTCAATTCCTTCAACAGAGCATACGTATTTCAAGGCACAGGAAGCAATAATCCAAGCAAGGAACAAAGGAAGTTCATTTTTAACCATAGCATTTTACTAACTGGAGCATCTGCAACTGAAAGGTTCCCTCACTTTTTAAAAACCATGCTACTGATGCAAAGGGTGTAGTGTAAAATTCTGACAAACTCCCCCTCTTCACTGGCTTCCATATAAGATGTTGATCTTGCTGCTACTTTGCTCTTTAAAAGCTCTGCTGCTCTCCTAATTATTAATTGCATGAAACATGTATTCTCCCATCTTGCAAAAAGCATCACAAGACATACTCTCTGGTGGTGAAATCCACAGAAAGTCATATTTGGTAGAGTTTAATTAAGATAATCCAGTAATTTGTAGGCAGCTGATTGGGGAGGATTTTGTCACAGGTAAACAGGCTTTGAAAAAAAAAAATAAATTGCTTTTATCTCTTCTTGCTTTCTGTTTTAGTTGTATTTCAAGTGGATTAGCATAATCTTTCCCCCGCCAAACTCCACAACCCTCTCTATTCCATCATTGTTCTAATTTTACAGGAAGAAAATGACTGAAAGCAATTAATTAAAAATCTCTTCAGAGATGCATACGTGGATGCACTTATTCACTAAGAACTCACAAAATAACTGTGCATTTTAAAGCAATTTATCTGGTGCATTAAGCGTGAACAGGATGTCTTTGTTACGTACGCCCAGTTTTAGATGGTTCCCTACACAAGTATGCTTGTGTAGAGATATCTGCAGTAATTCAGCTCAGTCAGAGAAGATCCCCTTTGAAACTAGGTTTGAGTTTCTAGGCAGGTTTTATTTTTCCTTTTTCCTGTGTGCTGAAGTTGACTGTTTCAAGTGAGGAGTCTTTCCCTGCTGGGACATGGATTGTCAAAAGCCATCACAGAACTTGCAAAATTCTGTCATCACACCAGAAGCCCTAATTCTGCTCCAGAATCATTCAGAGAAAATTCCCAATATTTGGCAACAGAAGTTTTCTCAACAAAGACATTCTGACAAACTGAAACATCATTCTCTGAACACACGGACACCCACCTGGGGGACAGTGCTAACACAAACAGTAAACTACTGGCAGGGGTGAATTTATCATCAGCAAGAAGACACAAGTGTCTTCACACTATAACGTTGAAGTAGGCTATTCATAACTCCTAAGGTCTATCAAAAAGGTAAATTCCCATGTTGTAAGGTTTATTTGATTTCCTATGAACCAAATAAAAACTATAAATTTTCTTGAATTCACGGTAAGGGAGAAGGAAGCCAAGACTCTTGATCTCAAAGCTGTGCACTTCCTCAATAAAATCCCAGCACATCAATGCTATGAATGTAAATAAGTGCTGGCACCAGTGTGAGGTGCAGAGGTTCTCCTAGCAGAGAAGGAAGAAGTTTTCTCTGCAGAGATCTTCCTGCTCTGTCGTGAGAGTTCATCTCTAGAGTCAACGCAGCAGCCCTGCTAGTCTGCAAGCACACTTCCCAGGCAATATAAATATACCGAGGAAAGTTCCTAGAAGATTTCACATACTTCTCTTTTGAGCAGGAAATCTTGGACAAAGGAATTTTTTTTTGTCTCTCTTTGTTTCTAAGTTCACTTATACCTTTTCTAGCCTCCATTAAAACATGCTGCTGTCTACTCTTTCCCCTCTTTGTGGACTCTTTCTACTCTCTGCTCTCTTGTTTTTATTTAAAACCCCTCACATATCACAGCCTGTTGGTCACTAGCCAGGTATCCAGATGGTACTTATGTACCACATTCGTAGGTGCCTTAGAAATAGCAGACAGAGAAGGAAAAAATATCACTGGGAGGCTTCAGATGCTCTTTTTGATAAGTGGCAATTGTAGACCTAATTAGCTGGTTCCCTCTTTCGGAGAAGCTGGGTAAGTAACAACAGTTGCATTCCCAAGGAGAAAACAGCCAAGGACACATCTCTCGCTGTCAGGTCTTAGCTTTCCACTCAGACCAGTGTCAGGCAGATGGCTTGTCAATCTACCCTTCTTTGAAAGGCACCAGGTTTTGTCTGGGTTTGAAGGTTTTTCTCAGTGCCCATCATCGTACTGCCTCAGCACCACTACGCTGTGTCAACTACTTTTGCACAGACAGCTGATTTATAGAATAAAGAACAAACAATGCTCACCTTAATTATGTGAGTATCCCTCCAGCAATAATCAGGCTAATTGCCTCAGTAAGGCCAGCAGGATTTGGCTTTAAATCAACTATCAAAATTATTTAAGCATAAGTGCACGAATTCCTTTGCAACTCCAAGGCCCACTTGTTAAACATTATTTATATCTCAGAAATGCTGTTTCTTTTCTCTCTTGCATTTGACAAGGAGAAAAGTAGAAAGATGAGGTGTCAGGAGCACCTGTGTGAGTAGGGGGCTGAACCCATCCCAAATTCAATGGTAGGGAAAATGTGTCTCCTTCCCCTTTGCTGAAACACCTCAAGAAGTCTGCCCGTGGGAACTCCAAGCTGCATCATGCCTGGGGATCCCACCAGCCTGTGCATGTCCTTCTGGGGATGGCACAGAACTGCAGAGGAATCTGCCATGAAAGGAACCATTGCCCAAACCTGCTGCATCTGCATGTTTGACTTGTACCTTAAAGCATGAGATAACATCCTTTAAAACATTTAGCTTGTTCAGTAAAACTGATGCATGCTCTATTTACCTATAGAAATTTCTAGGGCTTTTTTTTTCACTCATATTAAGTAATCTATGTGTTTAATGTGGCAAATGATACAGAAGTACCAGCAGCTTCATTTTAGCAATTGGCTCTAGAGGGAGCAGAGGGCAAAAGTCCTCAGAATTAGCTGGTGTGGTGCACTGGATGCTGCCCATACAAAGGCACCTGGATAAGGCACTGATACGAAAGGCTTGAAATTCTACCTCCACCAAGGGGTATGTGGCACAGAACCACTGTCAAGGCCAAGATCTTCAATCAGTCTTTCAGACAGCTGTCTTTTTAAATAATGTTTTGCAGTGTTTCAACTGGGCTAGAACCCCAGTCTAGATCTGTCCCATAAGTAAGGTCAAGCTATTCTTGCTTGCCATGTATCTCAGTGCAGGAGAGCCTTTCTGTGACCCACAGCAGGAGCAACAGGTGACATGAAGGTGCACTGTGAGCCTCTAGGGTCTTTAATTAAAAACCCAACATGCTTATGGAGTTGAGGGACACTTAAGGGCTAGGGGGTAGTTAAGGTGGTCAAGGAACAGTGTTTTGTACCTACAGTCTGCCTTGGTTCTGCTGAGGCATTTAAGCCTCTTACTGGAGCTAAAGGTTTTTCATAAGCAGTCCCAGTTCATCGCCTCCCATCTTACAAAAATCTCTACATGTCTCTAATGCTTTTCACTGTCAATCTCAACACTCTTTTTATATCCATTAAAGACTTTATGAAATAGGATGACCAGAAATGAAAAAAGATTCTGAGGATAGAGCATGCAATTGATTTATGTTAATGGCATTGTAATAATATTTTCAGTGTTTGATTTATTTTTCATTCTGTACACAGCTGAAATGCTGATTACTTCTCTATTCCTCTCTCATTTATAGAACAGCCACTTACAAAGGGCTCCATGAATTTGTTCTCGGGTCCATCTCCAAAGCAGTTAAAATATAATTAATTTAAAATCCACTAACACACAAGAAGTTGAGGTGATTCTTTTCCAATCAATCTTACTAGAATTCATCAGTGAGCTTCACTCGCTGTCATGCTTCTCATACATTTGTCTTTGTACAGCTCCTCTGACTTCACTGGCTTTGACACATTTAACAACTGCTAATACTAAAAAAACTCCCACCCTGTAATTTCTATTGAACGATACTGCAAGCCTTAGAAACCCCCCATTTGTACACAAATAAATATCACAGTTACCTGCAACAGCATCCTTAATGGCTTTTGCATTTATTTGTACTGATAACTTTCATCCCTTGTACACATCAGAGATATAAAAAAGCTGTGTGCCAAGATGTGTTAGTTTATAAAGGCAATCAGAGAATAAATATTACTGCTTAATTTTTCCTTCATAATATATTCTGCCTTGAAGACTATATGAGGTGTCAAATCACCTTACTCTAAAAGGATTAGAATATGAAAAGTATCCCTCAGTGATGAAGGGCAATAAAAAAAAAAAGGCTATTTTTATGGAGGAGTTTGATAATAGAAGAGATTATAGAGCATGGTGCCAACAATAGCCTGAGACTGAACACAAGAAATTTTTATAGTCCTGTTTGTCAACTAAATATGAACAAATTGTTTTGGACTAAGAACAGCCTGATTCTTGTCTCTAAGTTGATACAAATTCAAATACAGGTATTTCATCAGAGGTATGACAAAGCAACTTGCTCTTCTGTTCATTACAAGTTGGCTGTGCACTGCCTTATTTTGGCTGGAGGGAGACAGAAATACAATATCACAAATTTGGGGATCTGCTGAAAGCTGGAAACACCAACAATAATGACACTTTGTCTTCAAAGACTTGCTAAAATTAAGGGCTATATTTTCAAAGCAGCTTGGCATCAAGAGCACCTTTAGACTTCCCTGGCAAATGGAGAACTGAGAACATGAAATAAAATGTCTTTCATTTTCAGCCAGCCCCTATAAACAACTAGCCGTCATCGCACCTTTCCTACAGGTTAGAAAACAGGCATGATGTGGACAAGTGATTTTATGTGAAGGAATTTCAAGGTTGCAAATGGTCACATAAACCCGTTTTGTAACAGTGTAACCTAAAATCAAAAGTCTCTATATTTTGTGATTAAAACCTGGCATTTCAAGCAGAGGCACAGGAGCGAGTCCCCAGCATGAGATCCAAATGTGTATCTGTATATTTGGCTTATGAGACAGCACAGCTAGTATACAGCAATATTCGTAGACCTTTATGCATGATACATAACACGAAGTAGTTACTGAATTAATAAGCATAATTTTATCTAATTGGCATATTTTTATTATTTATGTGTGTTATGGTAGCCAATTAAACCTCCAGTTGTGCCAGGTTGAAGACAAGCATATAGCCTTAAAGACCGATTAAATGCATTTAGACATTACGTATGAGTGCAACACTTGCAAAAGGCATTGGACAACCCCATGGAGACTGCCCAAGCTATGGGAGGAGAAACAGCACCTGAGTTCTCCCATCCCTGTGAATGCACCAGTGCACTTTGGAGGGGTACTGGGCCCTGCACAGAGGGCAACCTACCAGGAAAATGAACTCGACAGGGCTGAAGCCCATAAGCATCACATCATATCAAGACATCTGGCCAGTGCTCAGTCAGGATTGAGCTCCTTGCTGCAGCCAGAGCCTTCCTACAGGCACTTCTCACTTCACTTATTGTCCCTCCTGAGCAGGACTGCAAATCAACTGCAGTCTGACAGGTCTGAGTATATCTTTCACAGAAGAAATTGAATCCCAAGCATACACGTTTGCTGTGTTAGTTTTGCACCTAGATATATATGTATTTTTGCAGTGCCTCAGAGGGACAGGGCAACAATTAGCTGGCCACGTTTGAGATACCATTGCACTATCCTGCTGGGCATTCCATTTTCCTTATATGCAGAGATACCTACTGTATCAAGCCAGTGATGTGCAGCAAGAGAAAACATGCCAGCTCCGGTTAACATAGTGTATACTGTTATGAAAGCAATAATCTTTAGCCACCTTTGCTCTTGCAGGCTGTTGGCCATCCTGCAGAGTCAAGGGCATTGACCCAACACTGGGTATAGCCCAGGAGCATGCTGAGCAAAGAACAGGCATTGTGCTTTGTACAGAGAAGCCTGCACAGACCTGGGCAACTAAACACGCACACACACATTCCCTCTGGCTGCTTCACATTCCTGGAGGGGTTATTCATATTTCTAAACTATTTGGTGTAAGCAGCAGAGAGGGATGAAAGATTGGGACAGCAGCAGCTGTAAACGAATTGCCCTATCAGAGGTACTGAATGATAACTTTGCAGCTGTCTGAGGCAGACTGAGCAATCACTAGTATCCTGGGGTGGAGAGAAGTAGAGCAGAAGTGGCCTGGCCAGGAAAGTAAAAGCTGGAAGAGTAATTGGTGACCATACTCTTTTCTAGCTCTTTCTCTCCGACTGTATTTTTTCAGGAGGGTGGAGGTGGTGGGGGTAGGGATGTGTATTCAGAGCATCACGGAACCAGATCATTAGCTCTTCTCAAAGAACTTGTTGCCTGCCATTAAATAGTGCTAGTATCATAAATCCAGAACATTTTCATTCATAAGATTTCCTAGTATATACAGACACAAATCTTCCCTTTCTAAAATAGTATCTGCATTTCAGATTCTCAAGCATACATTTCCAGGGATAGTGGGGTTTTTTTCTATTACTTCTTATGTGTTATATTTCTGGCTTTCATATGCACATGACCAGGAAACATTCGCTTATCCAGAGTTCCTTTTGCTCTCTAACTCATCTTTTTAATCTATAACTTATTTTATTTCCAGATATGAAAAAGCAGATACAAATTATATCTGACAGCATCTCCCCAGCTCCTGAGATTTCAGATGTGTCTTGCTCTGTGGTACCTCTTTTGCCAAATCTGTGTGAATAGAACAGAACATATGTCGCAAAACCAGCATTTTATCATAAATTAACCCTGATTTCTTCATTCAAATTCTAGTGATATTGTCCAATTACTTCACTTTCTGCTAATTTCTGATTGTCGTTACTATCCATCCTCACAACTGAAGAATCAAACAAACAGGCTATTATGTGCGAAAAGTAGTTTTTAACATAAGATGGCGAAACATAAAAACAAATGCTGAAACCAATAAATTTCTGCAAATGCAAAGCTACAGCTGTCATCCGTATCATCAAGAGTAGCAACAGCATTACAGCTAAAAATGAAAATTCTCAAATTCAATCAATCTTCCAAGATTGTACAGTACTTACTGTACCAGCCCATAGAAAGAGCTGATCCCTCTTGGGGTCAATGTTTCAGCTGAAAAGGTGTGGGAAGAAGGATGACATTTTCATATTTGAAAGCAGATGAGCAGAGGCACAGAAGAATGACCTGTATTGTCCAAAACCACACAGGAAGCCTAAAACAAAGTTAGCAGTCAGTCTCGCAAATCCCAGCACAATGACTAAACCCCAAGTAATGTCTCCTACTCCTACATTCATAGAATTGCACCCATTTTTGCCTTATCCCCTCAGGTCAGTGCACCTGTGGGGGCTGCCTCCTCAAAAAGACAAATGCTCTGTCTAGACACAGTCCTGTCTTCAAAGCCAGACAGCAATATTCTTCCTGAGAAAATACAAGAAATTCCTTAATTGGTAAATGCAGGATAATCTGTGCCAATGAAGGTCTGACAGAGATTAACTTTAAGCCTTGAAACATGAATTTTTTATGGCTGCTCCAAAATTTAATTTATCTGTGTTAAATATTATTAAACAAAGCATTCGCATTACCCATCGACACATCCGCTCCATCTCAGGAATCACACTCCCTCACCCAACCATTCGGTTACCTATTTAATTAGCACGTTTTTTTGATGGACATTAGAGGATTATGAGAGCCACAGGCTTTTCAGTTGATGAGTACTACCAGGTTAATGAAGGAGGAGAATAGAGAGGAGCACAGCATATTTGTAACTAGTCCTAGTATCCACAAGTGAGATTTTAGATCAAGGTAAATAATGCTGAAATGCTGCCAGAGTTCTTTCTCTGGATCTCTGAATGGTTTCCCTTTACTGTTGCCATGCCAAGTTTCAAATTTGCTTTTGTGCCAAACTTCATACAGGCAAATTTGCAGAGAATTCATTTCAAAGTCTGACTTACACTAATATGTCTGAGCATCAGTGCTATGGCTGCTCTTTCTGCGATCCCTTAAATGAGGAACAATAAAGCCAGATTTATTTTTATCTGATCACAGCTAAGCCCTAGATTTTGCGTAAACAGATACCAAATGCACCCAAAACTCTTAACCATCTTTTTTTTTAACAACATAAAACAAAGGTAGGAGGGAAGGGAAACTTCATTGTGACTGCATTGTCTCTTTACAGGAACACTTTAAACTTCCTGTTCAAGGTTTGTTTTCCTATTACAGCTCCCAGAAACTCACATAATGCTCCAGCTGAGATCAGCAGAATCAGGCAGCTGAAGGAAATCTGTGACAAGAAACCCATGTGGAAAACCCATTATTTTTATATGCATATTTCCAAAGTTATTATCAAATATAAAAATAATATCTTATCAGAACTAAAGCATTTCTTTTCCCTTGAGTATCTATCCAAAGATATTAAGATGCCCAAAGCACTTCTAGTGCTGAGAACTGGGAGAAGACATGTGCAAGGGGTGCCTGGCCACAAGCAGCAGGAGAAGCTCCTTGGCCTCAGATCGGGTCATCCTGCTTCCCACCACAGCATCACCTCCTGGGGAGAGGTGAAGACTGGCCAGAAAGCTGTAGCTAATTAGAAGTAATTAACACAGCTAGAAATCCATCCCGGGCAGCTATTAGAGAGACACTCAAGGAAAAGGCAGGGGAAGATGAATCTAGACTGTTTTTCACTTTGGGTGGCTACTCAGCAAAGAAATGTCAGTGGGAGAGTCGCTTCCCCTTCCTCTCTCATGTGCTGAGGACAAATACTGGTGCAAGTTATCTGCCATCTGCACTCACCCCCTACCTGTCTCTACCACTCCCTCTGCAGCTACCTCCAAATATCACAGATCATCCTTTGCCCTCTCTGCTCCCTCCCCGTGGTCTCATTAGAAGGAGGCTTCCTTCACCCCAAGCCCAGACTGCTGTGGTGCTCACTAGACAAGAGAGAAGGGTAAACATGCTTTGTTTCAGGTACCTCATTAGAGACATACCTTGAAGGGACCAGACGTACATTAAAAATGGCCTTTGACACTGTCTGCCTCTGATGAACTAATGAAAAGGGTTATAAGGCAAGGCCCAAGCCAGGATTCTGGTGTTTCAGGGCCAGCCTGTCCAGTGGAAAGCAAGCACTGCTCCCAGCCAGGTTTCACAGATTTCAGAAAGTGCAGTGTTTCCCAAGCCTCCCCTTTCCCACTCCCCACCATAAAACAAAGCTCTGTGTCATTTACCCAAATGGCAGCTGCAGCTCATTTGGAGGCAGCCCAATTTTTCAGATTTGCACTTGCATTCATGGACATTTAGCCTTTTTATAAACACATAATGAGTCTGGTTCAGCTGGGGATAAGCCAGGGCTGCTTCTTTCCTTGTAGCAAAGCTCCCATTGCAATGAATTCATGCATGGCATGAAAGCATGCAGCCTGGGCAGAGGGGATCCAAAAGCAGTAACTCAGTTTTCACTACCCAACAAGATACACAAAACTCACGGAAAGTTGCTTTTTCTGCTGTTTGAAACAAAAAAAGACAGTACATTCCTTTTCCTCTCAGGCAGCAACCTGACCCTGCCCCTTGAAGCCCCTGCTATGCAGCCCTTTAAAAACAGCAAACCATCCAAACAAATACTCAGAAAAGCCCCAGGCAGCCTTTTCCAGCTTTTCCTTCACTGTTGGGCATCCAGGCAGGACAATCCTGCTGCCAGCTATAGCTGGCTGAACTTTCCCCTACCACAGAGCCAGTATCCACATCATTGGAGTGGCCCATTTGTGATGTAGCCCAGGTGAGAAGCAATCAGTGTACTACACTAATCACTTCCACACTAACTAGCTTTATGTGTTTTTGCCATAGGAACTCCTCTGCAGTCCAGCAGATAATGACTTTTGGGCAATGCAAGCCATACACCTACTGCTGGGCACTCACTGGTCAACACTGACAGAGCCAGCGCAGTCTTCTGCCAGCTGTTACTTTGCCCCACTCAGCTATAATTCACTTTTGCATGCATTTTCTTGCACTGTCCTGTCATGAAGAGACACAGGTAAAGAGCGTATCACCTAGGTAAAATTATCCTTCTCTGCTTCAATCCCATTTTCCATCATTACATGTTCCCCTTGACCACAGTGAACAGCTGATCTTTCGCAGCACATGCTCTGTAAAGGTGGGTAGACGTTTACAGTGCCACTCAAGATAAGTTAAGGCTTTTAATCTTTCAGAACAATTTGCCTCACCAGCTGTTAGCTGTCAGAGTCTGCTCCAGCTGACTAAGACCCTCTGGTATCTAAGTGTCTAAAATGTATAGTGCACTTAAAACCTGTTCAGTTCTCATTAATTCTCTCTAGATAGCAGTGGAATATGCAAATATTTGCAGCCCCTCACCCAAAACCGTGCTGTAGAGGGCTTTATCTGAAGTTGCAGGGAGGGTGTAAAACCACAAGAGCACAAGAAGCCCACAGGGGAAGCAAGTCTAAGAATAAACAAAAAAAAAAAACCCAAAAAGGTAAAAACAACCAACCCCAACCTCCCCATGCCCCAACCCCCCACCCCCAACCCACCATATAAAAGGGGAAAAAAAAAAGAAAAAGAGAGAAAAAGAGAAAACCAAACCAACAAAGCCCACAGCCTTCTTCCAGGCAGTGCTGTGGCAGCACACTGCCACATGCTGATGCAGACGTTAGGTCTGGGTGGTTAAATCCTTTTTCCCTCCTCTGGGCAGGCAACCTTTCATGGTCAGACACCAACATGGGACTTTAGGCTGTCCACCTAATAATACTTACAAATACAGAATAACCAGAAAATGGAGGGTTGAGAGCATGAAAACATCACTTTAGAATTCAGAGGGGGGAAAAGTATAAAGCACTCATTTTTAAGTACATGACCAGTCTCAATACAAAGTACATTTAAAGCAAAATTATCTGGACTAGGGCAGAGACAAGTCAGTTAATCCTTTTACTTGGAGCACGTAGTTATTTCCTAGGATGTTTTTTTCCTTATTCCATGCAAGCCTTTGTATCATGGGGGTCTTAATCTTCAGCACAATTAAGGATCATTGGATTTTCATTTTCACAGTTACTTTGATCTCATCTTGCTGGCAGAAAAGCAGCTGCTAGCCCCACTTGTCCACAGTATTAGTTTTTCCATTGTCTTTACAGAAGCTATATATCTACTGACTGGCTTTTGCCATGATTTAAAAACATCATCCCAGTAAGGTTGTTATCTTTCAGCAATATTTCACAGATATCATGAAACTGGTTTATACTGACATCTTACTTAGCATCCGGCTAACAAGACAATTGCAGGGAGATATTGCCAGAGATATAAGGCCATTATAAAATAAATAAAGAGCTTTAAAGCTTAACAGGTTGCTTTCTGTAGAAGGGATCATAGTGAAGCTCCTGGGCACAAAATAGCCACTTGTTATACAAAGGCTGAAGTGGAAAGTGCCCCTTAATGTATAAAATAAATCCTAGAGAGTGGCTGAACAACAGCTCAATTCTAAGCTGAAGTTTTTCATGGCTTCTTGAATTATCTAATTTGCCAGAAGTGAGTGACTGCTTCTGGGAGTGTAAGGGTGCTAATATTGCATTCTGGAGTGATTAAGGTTTATGATGTAAATCTCTATAAGAGTGTTTTTAAAATGCATATTACTTTACTTTCTTGATAAACTATGATGGCTCCTTAGGAGCCATTAATACAAATTAGGGTGCACACCATACATAGTAGAAAGCCTCATGAAAAGTACTTCTTCCACATGCAGGGTAATCTGCTTTTAAATTATATTAACTACTGCAGCTGTGATGTTTTTCCTCAAGTCTCAGGGATCAGATCACTTTTATAAAAACATTTCCTTACTGAATTTCATTTCTTCAGATAAAAGCTCAGTTTTAAGTTGTGCAAGCAGGAGGTGAAAAGCTGGAGACTGCAAACTGCAGGCAGGGGAACACAAACACCTTTCATTTGTACCAGTTAAAAATCCCCAGATACTTTTCATAAATAATTTCTATAATCTAAAAAATATGTTGCTATGCACATGCAGAGCAAAGTTTCTTGCTTGTTGCTCTTACCTCCAGGTCCTTATTTTCAGTGTCTTTTTTTAACATACTGCAGCTACCTTTGCCCTGCACAGCAAGCTCACTGGGACAAATTTGTTTTCTATAGGCACAGTGGGCTTAGCTGTTTATTTACTGCACCATAGAACTACTGCAAACGTTATCACCGCCTGGAAAACCCTACCCTGGTGTATATTAAATGGACAAAAAGAGAGAAAGAAAAGTTCCATTGACTTCAATTAGAGTCAGGTCAAATCACAACATTTCATCTTGGCCTCCATTGAGCTCATTCAAGGCAAAATGAGGTCTTGAGCCAGGCACACTCTGACAGACAAAATCAGGGGACCTGGAAATAGGATGGTTGCTGGGACAATGGTGTAAACATTAGCT